TTTGTGCATATAAATTACTCACCAAAGCCATACCTGGAGCTTTGCAAAATAATTTAAAAGAAGCTCCAAAAATTATTACACCCAAATAAAAATGTTAGGAAAAATATTAAATGCATTTTTAATAAAGAGGGAAAATCAGGAGAAACAAAAAATATATATATTTACATTTGAGTTAAAATTGTATTTAGTAAATTTAGTTTTTGCAATATTGTTGGAGTTGGAGGTTTCATGGCTAGATTTGACCAGCCTGGCTGGTAAGCTGAATTGTGTCCAAAAAAAAGTAAAACCTGAGCTGCCCAACTCAGTCGGATTAATGTTTGAGCATGTTGGATGATTCAGCATGGCCGTCGACTGAAGAGAGTGCTCTGACTGGGGCTCTAGAATGTGAAGTAGCAAGTAAACAAATCAAGCCAAGAAGAAACACAAAGAGGTCAGCTTTAATTGCACTATGTTTCTATTTTTTTTTTTTTTTTTTTGCAAACAATATAAATAATTTGATTATCAGACATATTTGCAGGAGCTGATCCCTCAGTGGTGAGTGACTATTACTGTGATGGTACTAAATACTGTGCTATGGAAGTTCTGGGTTTGCTGTTCAGAAACAGGAAACCGATACTGCTGACTGTGGTGTTTGGTGTGTTCATGGGCAGCTTTTTGATCCAAATGGAGCAATGCATGAGCTGACAAAAGGTGAGAACACAGTTGAGTTTTGTCTGTGCTGTTTGTCTTTAGTCATTTTGTGCTGTTGGGGATGCTTTTATACACTTGGGGGTGATTTTGAGTCTTAATTTGATCACAACTTTTTCTGTGTTTCTGCTAGCAGAATGAATTTTTGTGTCAAATCTTATTCTGACACATTTTGAGAAACTGAACTTTAAAAAAAACTCAATGTTACACTGGGCAAATTTCATCAGCCTTGTCTGGTTTCTTTTGCTGACTTCTTCTGACTAATGATGTCTGAGCCACCTCTTGGCTGTCTTTATGAACCACTTTGTTCTTTAGACCAAGAAACCTAATGGCACACAAAGAACACAATATTAAACCAATCATGTCATTTCACAGTTAATCTGGAAGATTTATCATTTAACTCACTTACATGAACTATTTTTGTTTTAAAATTGGTCTCCCATTACGTTGCTCCAAAGACAGTTACACAGGTTTGGAACATGATGGTCAGTAAATGATGACAGACTTGTATTTTTGGGTGAACTATCCTTCAAGTTAAAGGCCTATCAACTCCTCTTTCTAGTGCTCTTAATAACAACCTGCTCGCATTTCTTAGGAGAGTAGTCTAAAAATCTTTTTTTGGACCCCCTTTTATTTTTGAAACAACAACATCATCATCTTTATTTTGGAGACAATGCTAAAGGGTTGATTTCTCTTTCTATAAATGATAACATACAATATTCAACATTTGACAACATGCGATTCAGCAGTGTAGTGTTTGGACTAGCTGAGTACCTCAAGCAGCCAGCACAATGCTCATAATTATGACGCACTGGATACTACTGTAGGACCTTTGTGTGAAGTGTCAAAGTTCATTCCTCAAGCAACTCCACACACATTCCTGGAGGGACCTGGCATACTTGTGCTCTTGACTGTAGCTGATCCCAAATGTGTTTAAGTCAGGTGACTGGGCGTAACAAGGTTTAGAGGTAAAGCAGCGGCTGTGCATTGCTGGATGTTTTGGTGATCGTGTGTGCTGCTGATATTCGGCTCTTGGGTTCATTTGGATGTTGAAATGCGGGTAGCAAGGCTCTGTAGGCGGTTTCTAGCGTGTTGCTGGTCTCCTCTGAGTGGTTTTTGGCACATTAGTGGTTGTTATAGGGTTGTTAGATTTGGCTGTTGTGTTAGGGTAGGTTAGGGTCCCTCACATGGTTTGCAACTTGACGTGCTGTGAGGGTTTGTGTGCATCAGTGATGCTGAGAGCTACGCCACTGGTACTTCACAGCTACCGGTAGGGTCACCCATAGTGGACAGGTCTCAGCTGAGATGCCCGACCAAGACAAACCACCCAATTTTGGACAGCAGAAGATTGGCCTGATGCTTCAGACAGAAGATGTCACTCGAATGACCAGAAGAAACTTTAAAATTACTGCTCATGTGGAGTTACAGAGGGACCAATTCAAGCTACTGTTAACTCTTCTCTAGAATATATAACACACACACACACACACACACACACACACACACACACACACACACACGAAAAAAAAATAGAATAAATCTTGCAGACATTATCATACATTATTTTTTCTTTATCAAGCTAGAAACAATAGCAACAAAAACACAATGGAAACATGACAACATACTCTAGGTGTGTATTTGCTTTATTACAGGCTGTGGTAAACTGATTGGCAATTCAATTATTGGCCACCACTGCAGTAACAGTGGTCCACACAGTGGCCATTAGCTAGCTTGAGTCGTTGTTTGTTTATTTATAGTTGATTTATTATTTCAAAATAGGAATTAAATGCATAATTAGAAACATATCTTGGCTTTGTGAAATTAAGCTGCATTATTCACCCCTGTAGAAAACACTTTGCAGAATATAAATGCTAAATCATTCTCACCTTGTAGCTGGCGCACACAGATCAGTAATGATGACCAGTGCAGAATCTACACTTTTGATTAAATTAAGGGAAGTAGACTGAATAAAACCCATCAATAAAAAAATAAGTTTTGATGATTAATAACTGCAAATGAGCAGAGGTCAAAATAAACCCATACTCATAAAAAAAAAAGAAATTCAATAAATTACACAAACTTTCACATTACTTTCCTTAAATAGTATCTAAGTAACACATTTAGCTACTTTTTAAGTGACTTTAGATTGTAACAGGAAGAACAGGAAGAAGTTCCTCAGACAGGAAGTGGAGAGCAGTACTTTGGCATGCCCTGCTGCTACTAAGCTTCTAGAGCACCTGCAGTCCAGATACTGCACAGGTGTCAAACTCAGTTCCAAAAGGGCTGCAGCTCTGCACAGTTTAGTTCCAACCCTAATTGAACATACCTGATCAAACTAATTGAGTCCTTCAGGCTTGTTTGAAATCTACAGGTAAGTGTGTTGGAGCAGGGTTAGAACTAAACTGTTCAGGGCTTCGGCCTTCCAGGAATTGAGTTTGACACCCCTGCTGGATCTCTGCTTACCTGCACTCAACTCAATTCTGATGCAGCACCAGGTGGGTCCTCATTCACTGTCACTCTGTGCTTTTGACAAATAAAAGCTTTTGGTTTCCTTTAAATGAAGCCTTTTTCGCACACTACATGGCATTCATTGTAATATGAAGTCAAAGTTATTAGCCCACTTGTAAAATTGTTGTCTCTTTCAAACTTGTCCCAAAGGATGTTGAACAGAAGAAGGAATTTTTCAAAGTATTTCCTATAGTATAGTTTCTTCTGTGTAAAGTCTTATTTATTTATTTTTTTGACTAGATTAAAAGCAGAGTTTATTCCGTATAAAACTAATAGTCCTCAAAATCTGTCAAGCTAATTTTATCAAAAAAACTTTGGATCTTTTTTTTTCCTGAAAATGTCTCCTGAAATGAACAATTTCATGAAGGATTTACAGATTTGTGTATTTTGTAGGTTCAGTTCCATTATGTACTGCAATATTGTTTACAGTTGTGCACAGCTCTACCCAAAGGGCGTTTATGTTTTTTTTTGTAAATAAGGGTGTATTTATTCTTTTGCACAATATAATTTGAATAAATTAGAATTGCAAAAAGCAAATGCAGTAAAAATGTAAAACATACATATTTAGTGTCTTGTACTCAGATACCTCACTAAATGCAGAGATGTCTAACTTTACTGCAGTTTTCAAATGGCTGTGTAAATACTATTGCTGTCTGAGCATTTTCAGAAAGTGTCACAAAAATCAGATTTTTTTGCATTGGAAAAAATGTACAGAGTAAACTGTCATAATGAAACCATGACAAAGCCATCTTGTTCATAAACAATGGCGTCAGGACTTTTTATCTTGATGACACTGACACTTTCATTGACATCAATACTTGCTTTTGTGGAATGAGCTAATCATTTTGAGCAAGTGACACGCTTTAGCAGGTTATCAACGAGGTTTTGCTGTTTGTGCTAACTGTTTTGAGAAATGCTTTAACTGTTGTGCAAATGTAAATAGTGTTGTGAGAAATGCACCAAAGTGACTGAGAAAAACTGTAAAAGATGATGGTCCAGGATCAACATTAGTGAATTTACACTGTATTTAAAAGATGATGGTCCAGGATCAACATTAGTGAATTTACACTGTATTTAAAAGATGATGGTCCAGGATCAACATTAGTGAATTTACACTGTATTTAAAAGATGATGGTCTAGGATCAACATTAGTGAATTTACACTGTATTTAAAAGATGATGGTCCAGGATCAACATTAGTGAATTTACACTGTATTTTAATGATGATGGTCCAGGATCAACATTAGTGAATTTACACTGTATTTTAACAACACGTTCTCACTCCCAACTCGTCACATACTGACGCTTGGTCAGGAACCCTCGGCGTCAGTTATTGACGCACAGGGTACCCCTTTAGCGTCATATTTAGACGTGCAGGGATTCCCTATGGAATCTGTGCCTGAGCCTGAGGCGTCACAGGGAGACGCTATAGGCTCGTATAATTACCAATAGATGTCAACAAACTTTTAAAAACCTGATTTACGCCTATTATCACAGTTTTCTTATTTTAAAAATATGTAATTTTTATTTTGTTCATGAAAAGCGTCTGTAAACGGGGTCGAAACTACTGTATGAATAAACTTCGGCCCACGTGACATCCCTTCACGGTGAGTTTAACGCCGCTCTGCTATTGGTCAAACTGCATCAGCGGTGAGTTCTCAGATGAGTTCAACTGTCAACATTAAATATTACGTTAATGCTGCATA